GGTCTCCAAACAATTAATAGGATTAAAAAGACAGAAGTCCTTACTTATTGATTTCCTGTTTTATTTTTTATTTGTTATATTGTGATTAGTTTGACACTTTCCAGTCTATAGGAGCAAGCAATGGCATTAGGCATTTATTTATGATTTATCAGTTGTGGAAAACAGGCACCAGTCTTGCTGTTAAAGAAATAAATGACAGTACTGTATTAAATTAATTAGTAGTGCGAGTGTCTATATCTCACAATGTAAGAAAATGTTGTACTCTATTATAGCACTATAGTCTGAATAAATACAAAATAAGTATTTTAAATGACATGTTTCCTTTTTATTTTAAATTCAACTCAGAGTCTGCACCAATTATCTTTACTGTGGCCTGGAAGCTAACAAGAGATCAGCAGCCATGAACTAATGTAACAGCATTCTACCAAGAGACTAATGGAACTCATGCTGAATCACCTGTGAACATGGCGAGATAATTGCCATTTGGGAAACCAAACAAGCATGTAGTGATAATAAAGTCTGGGGAGCAGGAGGTTTGCCTACGCCTGGTAATGGAAGAGTGAAATACCATATGACCTGGCTATGCATCAGGTAGAAAGAAAAAAAAACAACAACAAAAACTTAAGGTTTATTTACAGGCACCACTATGGAAAGGTGTGGGCTTGTTTGATCAGTTATAATGGAGTCATGCTTAGGGTGTCACCACATGGTGCATGATAAAGGGGGTACTGCTGGACTAACCGCTAATCCATAGCTGTGCACCTAAGCGTGCCAGGATTATAACCATGGTTATGCTATTCCATGTGCATCCATGGTCTGGGTCTAAACTATGCACCTCTGGGTCTTAAAACCATGGATGAGTGCATGGGTTGAGTGAGTACGTGTTTAGTATGTGAGGGATCATGCAGTAATACCAGCTGTCAGAGTCAGGTAGCTTATGAACGGTATTAGCCTTCAATACAAGTGAATGTCAGCATAGGATGTTTAATCAGCAAGCCATCCTCCTGGAGATAAGTCGGCTTTGATGATATTAACTTCACTCAGCACACCACAAACAGGTCAAGCTTCTCGTATGAGGCACTGGACATTTTTATGACTTTAATTACAGGCAAGACAAAACCTTTCTTAAAGCAGTGACATGCAGGATCCACCTGCTGTCCAAAGAAGATTAGATAAGCACATCAGTGAAAGATGTGGAACCATTTGGAACTGCCTACAATATTGACACATGCAAGTAAAAAGTAATTATACAGTAATTAATGGTGTCATGACTCGGTTTCCAAAATTACTTTTGAAGTAGCCATATAAAATTCCCAACATGATGTTTTGCTAGTTATTGAACAAAAATGTTGATCCAAAACAGGTTGTGAATTAACATTAGTCCTATAATACATAAATAAAAAAACTCTACAAACCTCTAATCACCTCTCTGAGAATACAGCAAGTACCAAACAAAGTTTCATCTTGAAACAGTTTTTCAGAATCTAATCAGTTCACTGTGCTCTCACTGTTTGAATGTACCTCTAAAGTATCTGCCTGATCTACACAGAGAAATCTCTGATCTGTTTCCATGTTCAATCTCCACCCTGCAGACTGGATTACCACTGTGAGCTTACAACCAAATCAGAGCAGCACATCTGCCCACACAGGTCCACGGCAAGGTCTAGTACCCGGTAGCACAGTGCCAAATTGCTAACTGTGATACACAACTTTCTGCTTCTTACAGCTTGAGATAGAGCATAAAATCAACTTCAGCTGAAAACCTAGATGTTTTACTTGTCATCCTCTTTCAGGAAAAATTTGGCCTTTCAGACAAGGGTCAACACCCGACTGCTGTGCATCGTGCCCACCCTTAAATACACCTTACATAAAAACGGTCTAAATGGGTCAGAACCCTGTTGGAAGTGAGGCTTTAACAGAGAAAAGAAAAGAGAAACCATTCACAAAACCCACAGTCTGATAGTCCCAGAGAAAACAAAAACAAACGAGAACACAAAGACAGTCCCTTGGAGACTTAATATATCCAAACACAAATGAAATTGAGCAACTGCTACATGATGTTTGAACACTCAGTGGTTGCGCAAGAAAATCTTCAGACCAGTTTTCAAAAGGTCATTTTCCCACCACAGTGTGTGTATGTGTGCACATCTGTGCAGATGTGTGTGAGCTGATCCAAGTGTGTGTGCGTGTGTGAGATAAACTGCCAATGGTTACGCCTGAAACTATTTTAACCAAATACAGCTGATGTAGGTTACCAAACATCACTAACACCAGACAGACGATACTGCATTATCCATGGTTGCATACTTGGAGGTTTGTGCCTATAAGCATTTATTAGTCATTGCTTTACGCTTGGGTTTTGTCCAAACACACCACCCTGAGGTCCATTTTGTTGCAGTCTCCTCAGATAGCAGTGAACTGGATATGTTGATTCCCTGGTGCTGCTTTGACTCAGACACATCCTGACCTATTTTCTGGCATGTCAACAGTATTGATCTTACTGCTCACCCCAATGAGGAGGACTTTAGGCAGTTATGAGATGGAATTAGATTGTTGTCACACAGATTCAAGGCCTTCTCACTGAAATAAAAAAATCCTTGACTTTTGTATTTAAGGGGAAGGTACAACTAAAAGAAGGACTTCATCAGAATGAAATTACATGCAAACAATAATAGACAGTACTGCTGAATAATACTGCATGTGCAAGCATGAGTACTTTAAGCCTGTGTGTATACAGCATTTCTTCTGTTTATATAATTTGCTTGGGAGTATTTTAGTTTGCATGTTCTCCCCGTGCTTGCATGGGTTCTCGCCGGGTACTCCGGCTTCCTCCCACAGTCCAAAGACGTGCAGCTTAGGTTGATTGGTGTCTCTAAATTGCCCATAGGAGTGCGTGTGTGTGATTGTTCATCTATGTGTTAGCCCTGCGATGGATTGGTGACCTGTCCAGGGTGTACCCCGCCTTCGCCCGATTGCCGGCTGGGATTGGGATTGGCACCCCCCCCCGCTCAGGGATTAAGCAGTAGAAAATGAATGAATGAATATTTCTTAGTCATTTATAAGCAGTTTTTCTGTCCCCAAGGTACAAGCCACAGGTTACATTTGCTGTATGATTTTTTTTGTGTTTGTGAGAGAGAGAGTGAGTGTGTGTGTGTGTGTGTGAGCGCAAGCTTGAGCAAATTATTTTTCACTTGACATTCAGTGAAGTTTGGCTTCAGGGTACATCAGTGCAACATGAGTTCTGTTTGCCTCTTTCATACAGTAGATTTCTTCACCTTCTCACTTCAGTTTCTCCACAAACAAGCACAGACTCACCCTTACAGATATTTGGGGCACATTTCTTGGCTATCCAAACAAATAAGAATGAGTAAGGTTAGATTTACCATACTTGGCCTCAGCCCTCCATCTTCCCTCTTGAGTTTCCACTGCCTGCTCTACGCTGTTAATATCCCTAACCTGTGGATGCAGGATCATTGGTTTCTGCAGGCCTTACTACAGAACCCTATCAGATTAGCTGAACTATCTCTTGAACAGTATGGGGTCTCAGTATCTCTAAAACCTATAATGAGAAAACCTAGATTGAATTTGAAGCTCAGTATGACCGGAAGGATTACTGTGCAGCCAACGACTTCTCTTACCTCAAAGATGTCAGTTGGATTTGAGCTGGAGGGAGGTTTGGAGGTAGATTTTCCATGATGACCTATATTTCTCCTAAACCGGTTGCAATGCTGGGACTTAGGACACGGGCGATGTCTAATAATGTTCCTGCCTCCAGAAATGGAACTGGCATCTAAGGAGGATTCAGTCAGCACTAATTTACCAGGCTACAGGAGGAGAAATGGTTAAAGTCTGTTTTCAATTTGTTTGGGTCAACCGCAACGACAACTATAATGCCACAGTGATTTACTTTCTCTACCAACTGGGTGATGTTTATCAGTTTCAGGACTTTGTGTTTCTTATTTTACTGAACTATGCATGCTATTTGCCCAAAGAATAAACTGTGCAAACATGGATACACACACACACACACAGTCATTCACTACTTCTCAATCTGGCCTTGAGCTCTGTCAGCCCTGCAGCGCATCATGCTGATAAGCAGAGGAACGCTGCTGTCACATGGCCTCTCTCCTCTTGCAAAATAAAATTGGCAAAATATAAAAAAAATAAGTCATTTCAGACTATCTGAATATACATACTGTTGATGCAGGCACAGACACCAGGATACTTCCTTTTATTCAATAAATAATCAAGTAGTTAGTGTTGCCTAGCAACCACATCATCAGGACTTGCACTGTTTTAACACACTGAATGAGAGGTTACTGGGCTGAAGACCCACAGCACATTGTAGAATGTGAAGGTTCGTATTCAAGTGATTTTTTTTTTTGTGGTTGTCACTAGGTACAGCCTCCTCCAGCCAAGTGAACGTGCTAACAAACGGGCAAAAAATGATCGGTTCTATTCTTTCTGCAAATTCCATATAACCCAATACACATAGATAGGTATTTATGGACATGGATATCAAAAACATAAATCTGTTTAAATTATGTTATTTAGTGTCTATATACACATTATATAGAAATGTACAGATATTTGAGTGTGATTGTTAAATGCTGTAATTCTGCTTTGATTGTGCACCTCGTTGAAATCCTGTACTTAAATATCAGTGATGAAAAAAAAAAAGATGGATTAATCTGGTGACAGGCTGATAATTTGCTAAGCACACCTATTTTAATGCCTGATTTCTGCTTCCTCTGTGCATTAGTATTAGCCAAAATGATCAAGAGTCATTTTACAGTGTTCTCTGTTCAAAAAACCTGCATGAAAACTAAAGTATCATTCTCCTATTGGCTGTTTTCAGTGTTAACAGCAGCATGAAGGTGGACCTTTGGCAGTCTCTCAAATGCATCCTGTGCCCTTGAAAATCAAGAATGGCCTCTTCACACAGCAACTTATCTCCCAAAGTGAAGCCGACGTCTAATCAACACCTGAAACCCTTTCCTTTGCCGTGTGTCCAAGTGAGACTTCAAAAGTTGTGCCAAGCCACACGCTTCCCGCTGTGTGTGAGACAGTAGTGGTGGAAAGGAGAAAGGAAAGAGATTTGTTATCAAAGACCCCCAGAAGCTGATGCTATTTTTCACCGTATGCATTGGATAGTACCTGTGGTGTGTTGCTGAAGCTTCATGTCCCTTTGAATTGGGAGGTGACTCGTCTCACAGCCTATTCTCCTACAGTGATTGGGTCCCAAAACGTTAGATTAGACAGTTTAGTGGTGAAGTTAGAGAACCTTATTCCTTTGCTTTTTGTACACCTGAGGACGTCTGGCTGTTCTGTCTGATATAACATGTTGCACCCTCATGGCAACTGATTCTCCTCTGGCTAAATGCACACAGGCTTAGTGTCATGCGGCGCTAGATTGACCATGCTGAACTGTTGATGCAATGCATTGTTGTCTCAGGGGCAAAAATGCCTCTGCCATCTCATCAGTGTGTTCCATTATCTGTGACCTGAGACTGCATCACAGATTTTGGTCACAGTATTGCCTGGGCCTATGCTAATAAGAGGCTACACCTTCTTTGTCGGCAGTCAACAGTGGAGCTGAAAACAGTCTTTGTCAAACAAACTCAGCATTAAGATGGGGAAAGGAGCTTATCAATCTGGTGCTGCTTGCTTGTAATAATCAATTATGGGTGACTATGACTGACCTTGAAACTTAGTGAATCTGCAGAAATACAATGAGAGGATTTGAATTGCACACACATGTAATACTTCCAGGGATTCTTGACACACAGAGCTGGAAACAGACTGAATAAGGCTGTGTGGATATATTTTTCTCCTGCACAAACCTAATATCTTCCCGAAATGCATGGTCTCCCCTGGCTTTATCTCCCTCTCCGCTCTCTGTGCTGTAATTGTCGATGAGAAGCTTCTGGTGTTGCTGTTCCACCTGCAATAGCATGCAGAACGTGTATCCATCAATCTGTTCAGTTCTCCCTGAGTAGTTCCCTCACAGAAATCCGTTTAGGGCTTTTCTTATTGAGTGGAGTGTAGTGGAGTCCTTCTGGGGCTTGAGCTCTCTAACCTAGTTCCTCTTCTATGTCTTTTCAATGAACTCGTTCCCACTTATGAATACATGTGCATGCTACACAAACAGCAGAAAGGCCAGTGATGAAGGATACTGAGTATCTGTTGATAATCTTTTCATGCAGAAGCTTTGACAACATATTCCTCTCATAAGTATAGTGGCTGCAAATTGCTGTTTTTCTTAGGGATTTTAATACAGGCTGTTTTCCACCATGTTGACTGACTAGTATATACATTTTAGTATAAATTATTTTGTGCAGCTAATTAATCAAGCAGTCCTCACCATACATCTGTCACTAATGAGCTGTTCGTTGCAGAAAACAAGATGATGTTTTCTGTTCACTTTGAGACTCTCATACCACTCTCAAAATAGTTGTTTACTTTCTTACCTCCTGTGGATGAAGACAGGTGTAATTGTGATTGTTTGCTGTCATAGTTGTGCAATCATAATACATTTTACATAACAAATGCATTTTAAAACAGAAGCAAACATAGCTGACTGTTAAGTCCTGTTCTTAGCATGTTGCCATAATTGGTGTGTCAGTGACTATCATAGCATGCTGAGAACAATATTAAATATGTTGTGAACAAGACAGTAGAATGCAGGAATCTGGTGTAATATTACCATCCAATTGTGCGCTCTGTACACATAATAACCTCCCAAGTATGTATGAAATATACAGAAATGTACTTTACTTTGCTGCTTACACTTGAACAACCTACTCACAGCACTTTATATAACTAGAATGCTCTACTCCTGTCATTCAGGTGTAGTACCTTTATTTCAATTATTCATTTCAGCTATTACCCAGTAACTTGCTATGTGTGGCTGAGGTCTTTAAAAATGAATGTTCTCAACTTTGACACAGATTTCAAATGTATATTTAGGTGCACAGGCCTTTACAAGTATTCTGATGAAGGATAAATTAACATAGCTGAGATAGATTGTTGCTGCAAGATGTACAGTGTGTCTATAACTGATTTTCATGGATTTTGCGCAGTTAGCTGTCACACAAGTTTTTTATATGAAGAAAAATTTTCTCCAGGGTTTCTTGTGCACGGAAAACAGCAATGATGTAGATTAGTTGCTAGCAAGGTGAGAATATTGGTGAAGGAGCTCATTAAGGAGCTCTACCACTGAGGAAGAATAATTTTGTCTTGTTGCAATAGAAGACTTTGATCCAATTAAGTGTGATATCAGCAGTCCAAGGTAAACTGAATTGTGTGCTGTATTTGAAAATAGTCTCCCTCTTAAATTGAAGAAAATGAAAAAATGTGTTCCACCATCTGTATTTGTCGCAGACTCCAAGATCAAAGAAATGTCACATACACAGTCCAAGTGACTGGAAAAAGCACTACGCTGTGTAGTCTTAGCAGATAAACCTTTTGGAAAAGACAGTGCATGCAAAAAATAAAAACATGTGAACACCAACAAAACCACAAAAACAAATTTATCTAGTTTAAATGCAATTCTCCTTAAAGTCAAAGAACATTAAAGTAAGGATGTTTGACTGTTTTACCCGCAGACTCTATATGAAGATGGACAATGTGATAAAGTAGCTATTCAGAAGTAAGGCCAACGCATGTCGATCGCCTCTGATGGCTAGGTGAAGCCTCGCACCTTCTACATTAGTAGGGTTGGGTATCATTTGGGTTATTTATTTATTTTGCTAGAGCGTGCCGTGACACTTCTGTTGCCTGCATCACCTGTTTCACCAGAATTTATTTATCAACAGGTATTTAAGTGGCACCAGAATGTGCTCTGTGATTTGGTCCAGTAGATACCGATTGGTACCCACCCTATATGTTAGCGGATGGTACATGAGCCAAAGTAAAAAGTACAAATCAAATAGCTTTTTCTAAATGTGATTTCTGTCATTTTAGCTAGATATTTTCACACTTCTGTGTACAAGTGATCATTTTTCTGTTATGGGTTGATTGGTGGCCTGATACCACAGGTAGTCACTACTACACAGAATCTGGTTGCAAAACGCGTCTCACAAGCAGGATGGCCGCCGCACCCTGTATTCATGATATTTTGGTTTCACTTTTGCATAATGGCAGGAATTGGTGGCATGTTGTCCATACACATCGTATGGTTTTAATATATTACATGTTAAGACTACACCCTGTTAATGAGTAGTCATAATTGCATTAGCACTGACATTAGCTGAAGCTAAGTCTCTGGCATCAATCAAGACATCATTTAATCCCCTTCAGATGCACCTTCATAAAACTCTTGTAAAGCAGAACTGAGGGATTTGTCACAAACATCTCAGTCTTGCAGCATCCCCCATTGCTCAACTTTCTTTCCCTGTCTGTGAGTTTATGTTCCTCCACTATTCCTCTGTGAGCAGTGGGCCCTATAGTGCTTGCTGCTTCCTTGCTGTCTCTCCATTAAGCGCCTAACAGAGCATTGGGCTGCGGCTGCTTTCTCCCCCAATGCCTCCATCTCCCTGTCGCCCTTCAGGTCTCATCGCCTTCGCAATGGAGGATCTATCCGCCATGATCCCAGGACACATACTGTCCTTCATTACCCATCCTCACAGCCCACTGCATTCAGATCCCACTCCCAGGACCCATATACTGTATGTGCATGAGCTCATGTTTGCAGGTGTGTGAATTTATGTGCGTATGAGTGACTTTGGTAGGCTTAACCAAGGACAGTAAGTCATATCACACACACACACACACACACACACACACACACACACTGAAAGAGAGAGTCATGTAACAGATCAATAGGCCATTTCAAAGGGTTTTGCTTTTAGCTTGGATGAAGTCCATCTGTAGATTTCTTACACATTAACTGAATGAAAGACCTTCAGCAGTGACAGCTCATACCCATGAGCCATCACATAAACACTGAACATCCGCCATAAGCACTCCCAGTTCAACTATGTTGCTGAATAATTTGCAATGAGAATGTTTTTCAAGGAAAAACGCAGGACTTTAAAGATAACTAATTTGCTTGTTGAAAAACTTTTCAGACTTTTTTAAACCTTTCAACACTACTGAATGTACTTGTTGCTGTTTGCTTCAAGGTTTAACAAGAATCAGAAGTCTTAGCAAGCCACAAACGCAGTGAGAAAGTTTTTCAGGTTTTAATGATTCCCTATAATTTACATAAACTTGTTTTTAAAACATTTAAAAAGTAATTATTTCAGGGCACCTGGAGTTAAAGTTTCAGTGTTTTAGGTTCATTTGATTGTCAGTTCACAAAATGTTTTTATATTGGTCATTCTGATTTGTTTCAGCATCATTTGTGTGTCAACATATTAATAATACTCACTTAGTAATTTCTTGTACTTTTGCTTTATATGCTCTGTTTTCTTGTTTGATGCCAAAACACGATTATTTTCCTACTATTTCTTTCTATCACTGTTCATTTAAATGCTAAATATTTAGTTTTGTCTTTGCTCCAGTTTTATTTTCAGCCTGCTCTCTATGTATGGATGCATACTGTTTATGGACACGAGTCTTCCTTTTGCAAAAAACTGGAAAAGGTGCCAACTATCCCACACTCCTCTCATTCAAATCAGATCACTGTCTTCACCTAGAGCCACTAAACCCCACAAAACGGAGATAACATTGTTTTATCCATAGGATCCAATTAAAAACTGTCAAATCACTGAAAGTCATTTGGTGTCTCGGATACTTATCTTCACCGAGTGCACAAGTGATTATACTTGCCAGTGAACTCCAAGAAATCATACTGATGACAGAAACCGAAATCATAATGTACTTCCAGCTAAAACGCATAATGAGGAATTGCATATTCTGATAAAATCAAAATTGGGACCCATAACTCAATGCTCAGTTGGTCCCATTCATACTAAATTAATTCTGCTTCGGTCACATTCAGAAATACATAACCTAAGTAAGGTTTTAAGGGATAAAAGGGCATTTAAGGAATTTTAAAAGAAATCAAAGGCTGGTTTTGTTTTAGTCCTGCTCGCAGCCTGAATGGCAGTGTGGGTCTCTTGGTTGATCCGCTGACCATGTTGGTCCACACTGCAGTATCTTAACAGTTTCAATATGGATTGTCATGAAATTATGTACAGACCATTCGTAATCTCCAGACAATGAATTGTAATGACTTTGTTAATCTCCTGCTTTCCCTCTCGTGCCTCCAGCAGTTTTTACTTATATGGCACAGACAACAAGTCCTCCAACCTATACTATACACCCATATGGTCGTTTGTTCCTTCCCTCTCATACAGACCTATCATCAAATAACACTCCCAACAGATTGAAGGAGGAATTGCAGCACCAAACTTTATGGACCTTTGTTGTCATGGAAATGGCCATAAACACAACCGCTAGCTAGAAGCTAGCTACTGGAACTCAGAGGTCTTGAAAAATATCATAATAGATGATCAAATGGCCACAATTTGATTAAGTTTTACCGCACAAAACACTACTTAGTTACGTCTAGGATCATAAACTCTTAAAAAACACACTGGAAATGAGCACAAGTCTCCTACGGAAAAGTCCCATGTTGTGTGTACATAGCCATCCATCTCACCATTTTACTGTAATAACCTGCTTGCACAAAAAACATATACGGTCATATTTTACAGGAGAACACTCTCAGCACAGATATCTACAGTGCCAAGACAATGATTCCTATAGAATTTGGTTATTTTTTTGACTGTTCCACTGCCATGAGGTGCATTTTTACTTCAAGTGAATCTTAACAATAACTGTGTCTTTATCCTGTTTGAAGGGGAGCTACGTATATTAGTGGTAGACCGAAGAGATATGTATGGGGTTTAATAAATACTAAAGAAGGGAAGGAAATTCACACACATATGAACTGAATGTAACAAATTATGAATAAAATTTATAATAATGAAATCA